TCTCCCGGCAGCAGCGACATCCGATGTAGTGTGATCATGATGCTGACTCTGTCGCTGAACCGGTCTCAGTTTTTGAGATGGCAAGAATCCTTGAGTGACTCCAGTGTCGACGTACCATCTCGCCGGATTTCCCATTGGATCCTGCTTTTTTATGACTCCGATCAACATACCTCTCGCAGCATCCACTTCTAGCGTAGATGTACTGGCAACGTCCTCAACCACCACATATAATTTGTCTGCAGTATATTTTTCTCTGAGCAAAGATTTCTGCTCTTCGGTTTGTTTAGACAATTGCGTTTGACCCTCGTCTATTCGGGTATTTGTACCAGCAAACGCAAAACGCGTTATTTGATTCCATATTAAATTATGATTTACGAGAAACGATTCCAATACATCTTGTGACGATAGATGCGGTGTTGTCTAAAAAAAAGAAAATTATGTTTCGTTTGTTTTCGAATTACATTAGACTGAAAATTTTCTATCAAAGTTTTAATACCTCGCAAAGAGATATATATTGCTTCGTAATTCTTCCGCTTAATAATTTTCGGGCGCCAGCAAAAGCATTTATACAATTAACCAAAATGTTGGCTGCAGCATCCAGCAAAATAGGTAATTCTTCCAACAATTGTTGATTCAGAGCTTCGTAATTACTCTTTGCAGTAAATAATTCTTCTTGTATCTAAGACAACATAAAATAAATCAGATAAAATTATGAAAAAAATAATATGTTTACAATAAAGAAGATTAAGTAACATAATAATTACAATTTTTGATTCTTTATATTTCTCACTCTTTGAAATAGCGGCGTCGTAATCCAACAACTTATCATGCCTTTTTGCTACCAACACCGCTGGCCCTTCTAACAGTGTCGCTAAGAAATGTAACGGGGCGCTAACTGTCTTCTCGATATATGACTTAAAGTCCTGTATGTACTGTGACCAAATTACAGATCTTATATCCTGCAACTTTTTCACCTCGGCAGTCGGACTTCCCTGATAATAATGAACCAACAATTCAGCTATCGCTTCACCGGATATAGCTTCATCACTAAGATACGTAATACATTGCTCAATATCTTTCACCAATTGCCATGTACATTTCTCTATAGATCGAAATTGTTTCTCGAGCTCTTCAAATTCGGTATCGCTTGCAACGTTTGTCAATCCTAGACTCGCCGACAATCGCGTGCTAAGTCTTGTTGACATTTTTGCCACAGAATGCATACTTAATTTTGACATTTTACTAAATAAAGTATTATCATTATCTAAATACTTTGATACGATATCTCTTCTCCGTTTGTATTCATTGATATAACTGGCCACATTTGTCATAGCCTCCCACGCCTCCATTATGGCTGCTTTATCTGGATGATTGTCTTCTGTACACTAAAAATTATTTTCCATACAGGAAAATATTATAATGCAATATAACTTTGAATATACACATGCGTATAAATATTTATCTGAAACGTAATCTGAATTCAATTTCACAAATGCTGCTAAAATTGATATGTATCAATTTACTGATACACTTCATTAAAATATATATTTCAAAATTGAACTTTCACTATCTCCCAAATAATTTATTTATATTCTTTGTATTTTGTGTAACTAACACGATTTCTTACCTTTATTAATTCATATAACATTAGAGGATACTTCACAATTCTTTGAATTGGCTTTATCAAAATGGAGCTCATATCAAAACAAGCAACCTGACGTCGTAATGTCTCGATACCCTTATTAAATACTTTCATGATCTCTTCATTACTTTCGTACTAAAATACAAATAGATTCAAGACAAATAATCCTAATTTTAAATGATCATAAATCTTTTACATTAGTATATAGTTGTCAATTAAAATTTTCGATTACATTATACATATACATAAAATACCTTTTTTAACAAAGCTAACGCAGCTTCATGATTCCCACAATACTTAACATAAACACTTTTCAATTTCTCGGCCATTTTCACGAAACAAGGCCCAACTGTTTGCAAACTTTCGTCACAACCTTTCATAGCTCTTAGAATCATATCCAACAACTCCTCGGCAACATGAATAACTTCCAAAATGTTCCCAAACAACGTAGCAACATCAATCCCCTTTGATTCGAGAAAATTTGGATTATGCAAATTAAATGTTTCATATGTTAACTTCAAATCACGGACATATTCTTTTTCAGTTATAACTAATTCCGATATTACATTTTGACGTTGATCTGCATTTTTTTGTTTCATATTTACAGTATTATTGATTGCAGACTCATTTTCCCATGTTTCTTTTTTAGCAGACACTTCTCCATTTGTAATAATTTCTTTCTGTAATGGCACTCTGCCTGGAGCAGGAGCAGGTGGTGCCGGTCTGTGCGGTTGCGACATTCTCTTCGGTTCCTCATTCACGACAGTGCTCGCTTCCTTAAGTCTAATCATCACAAAATCTTCAAAGTCTTCTAAATTTGATTCCTGCAGACTGTTCAACGAATATTCGGATACCGATTCGGAGCTCAAATATTCTCGTGGACACAAACCAACTAGACCATTCTTATTTTTCACTTTCACCCAATCCTCATTAGTCATTTCCACCACAGTAACACTTTCGCCTTCGTGGACATTTAAATCGCCATTCATTTGTGCGTCAAAGGTATATAGCACTTTTACGGTAGTATTCGGTTCCAAAGCATCTTTTTTTGCAAGAATTACTTCAGATTGGACTTGATGCTGCTTTGCTTCTGCACAATCGACTATTATATTGACGTAAGATAATGGAAAAATACCTTTCGTGGTATCGATCATACCCTCTAACCACTCGGAATCGATGTATCTAGTGAGATGCACTACTTCGCCGGCTCCAAAGCTCAGTTCGTTTGGAAACTGTGCATTAAATGGATATAATGTTATAGCATATGGTTTAATATCAACAGAATTTGTATGATTATTATACTGTGTACTGTCTGTATTATTAATTGTTGGCAACATCTCTGGAAACAAGTCAAAGTAATTTGGAGTAGGTTCGGCAGACAGGTTTGCATAAGAATTTATAGAAATTTCACCAAAATCTTTATAAATTGTGCCATTGTGAACTGTCGAGAAAGATGTAAAATTGTTCTCAGTTGTACATGTAATTTGTCTTTGATCAATTATATCTTGATCTTCTTCTATGTAAGATATAAACCCTTCGGGGAATATGCCTTCTCTACCATCTTCCGTAACTCCACGACACCAGCCGTCATCCAAAATTTCTGTGACAACGATCATCTCGCCTGCAGTTAAGTCTAATTCTTCGTCGAGTTGTGCCTTTAGTGTCGTTTTTACCTTAGCTCTTTTCCTTATTGACTTAGTTTTAATTGTTTTCTGTAAGAAGTATCCTTATTAATTAATAATTTTGTACACAACTGATACACGAATATGATACGATCTCTTAATATTCTACCTTTATCAATGTTGTATCCAGTTCCCATGTATGTGTTAAGGGGAAAATTCCATTTCTGGAGCCTATCCTGCCCATGCACCATCCTGAACCTATGTCCCTTACTCCAATTATAAGTTCTCCTAATAATGAAGGAATTTATGTTTCAAGTTACTATTTACAATATTGAAACTTAAAAACTATTGTTATCTCTTCCCACTTTTGTTAAAACAATTAATCTAAGTGTCTTTTAAAAAGTTCATGGCGCAACAGCATGTCTTACAGCAGTAAGCTTACCTTCTGCAAAAGACAAATCTCCAACTTCTTGTCCGGGAAAGCTGGCTATAGAAACAAACAGTCTTTCTGTTTCACTAAAAGGAGGAATTTCCACTTTATGCAGATGATTTAAGGGAAACTTGCCGACTCTGTCTTGTGACTGACCATGGCACCAGTGCTTGTCTATAATATTGTGTATCTGAAACGAGGATAATAGACCAGTCTATTGCTTTCAGCTGTTTACACTTGACTTAGGCTAGGCTCGTTAGGTTAGGCGTCAAGCGTTTGTTAGTACCACGAAATATTGTCCCTTGGGAAGACTCAGCTCTTCATCGACGGTGGTGAAGAAATCGTGTAGCACCCTCGCCAGCGTTCCCGGCTCCATTTCCGCTGCAACGCTCTCGCATCCGTTGAACTTGCGATACTACGTCCAGTATATAACGCTCAAGCGGTGGCGAGCCAGGCCAGCCTGGGCCAGCCAGTGCCCAGTGGCGTGGTGTAGCGAGGCGCCTGACAGCCGATACTGCTCCGATAAATGGCTGTCACGTGGCATACGCTCTTATTGCGTGGATCGAATTATCTAGCTATTAAATTATATGCCATTATTGAAGGAAAAACCGTCCACGTGTCGAATAAACGAATGAAATATTAATATTTTTCGCAATTAAAGTTGCAAAAAAAAATTGTCTGAGATAATGGATAATTGATAACGATCAATGACAATGTCGAATGAGAAAATTTAAATGTTTCTGTGAGCATTATAAAGATTTTATAACGAATTAGATTGAACGCAGTGCGTAGATTAATGTAAAATGTGTTTAATATAAATATAGAAACGGGTTAAGTCACGAAATCTTCAATACACTTTATTGTACCGTTAGGTAAAATATGTTTTTTAAATTTGAAATATATTGCGTTTCACTTTTACACTGAGATTAAATCAGTAACAACGATTCTAATATGCATCGGTGCGCACTCGAGTGTGTCTAACCGAAATCGCTATAAAATCATTTATAGTAAAAATTTTTTAGCATTCAAAACTTCGTTTATAAACAAAATAAATGCAAAGTGTTCGATCGCCTTGAATAATATGTATGCAAAATTTCATGTTTTAGAAAAATACAAAAATAGATTGGAATAATATTTATCAATTTCGAATAAGTTTACATTTGATACGAAATTCAAGATAATCGTGATAATTTGTCGGAAATATAAGTTCAAGTGTTTTTTTTAACAATGTACTTTACGCTTTATATATACGTCACTTCACGTATGAGCTGCGTGTCGCGTGTATCAAGTGTTATGTCACGTAGTTTCGTGGAATCAGCTGAGCCGGCTGTGCGGATTGCGTGGGATTGCGGAGTCAGCGGAGATCGATGTCGCGCTTATCGTTCTTTATTTATTTCGTGTAATTAGAACGATGTATATTTAGTACATGTGTGTGTTGATATTATACGCATCGATAGTTCTTACGTACAAAATTACATCATGCGAAAAAGTCGGGCATTAATTGACTTTTATCTAGATCTATTTTTGCCAGTAGTGAGGTTAGGACGGCTGGTATAACCTCGCACAAGTGGACCATCTTTCGTAGAAAATAATAAAGAGTAATAAAATAATGAATGGACCTGTGTGATTTCTCATTATTCATAACTTTTAATATACCCATGTAAATAGTTTCTCTTATATTTATTATATGTTTTCGTGCGACTAATAAAAATTAAGGAAGATGAAATCGTTCCTTTTCTTTAAAAATGACACAAGTCAAAAAATGTTTCCGAATTATTATTATAAATGAGTTAGATGAAGATTACTCTATCAATCATCAAAAGTAAACTAATTTACAGTCCGACCACCAAATAGTACTTGTGTCATTCCTAAAGTTTTTAAAGAGAGCATAATATTTACTTTCTATGAGAGTGACACATTTTGAATTGGGTAATTATTTAGAATACTATCCCACCTAAAATCTTAATAAAAATACACTCATTCGACACGTTTTCACTCAAAATGAAAGAATCTGGCAAAGAAATGCGACGGCCTCATGAACCGAGATATTAAACGTTGAAGTTTTAGAAGTTAAGATATCTGTCATCTCCACTCGATACATTGCTATGTATACGTTCTACTTTTACTTAATTACACATTCATTGCTTTAAAAACAAATTCTCTGCTTCACAAACATAAATTCACTACTTTAAAAACACAAATTCACTGTTAATGCAAAGAATTTGTGTGCTTAAAGCAGTGAATTTATATTTTTAAAGCAGTGAATTTGTTTTTTTAAAGTAGAGAATTTGTTTTTGAAGCAGTGAATTTGTGTAATTAAAGCAGAACGTATATATTGAGTCGGGATGACAGATATCTTAACCTCTAAAATCTCGAACTTTAACTCTTAATATCTCGATTCACGAGGTCGATCGCCGGATTTTTTTGCCAGATTCTTTCATTTTGAGTCAAAACGCGTCGAATGAGTGTATTTTTATTAAGATTTTAGGTGGGGTATGGTATTCTAAATAATTACCTTGAATTGTATTGTTTTTGTAAATAAAAAGGAAAGTCTTCTACAGAGAATATTTAGATTTAAAAGTTTTGATGATTGAGGTTTGAAAAAGAAATTTTTTTATTTTGAATCTAGTTATTATAGCTAATAAAAATAAATATAACTGTTGTTGATGTTTCAAGTTAGTCAATTTTGATGAATTATTCCATGTTTGTTATAATTTTTAGGATATCAAAATCATCGCAACTAAAAAGGGTGGTTTTTAAAAGTTATGATTAAAAATGAAAAAAAAAACATTTGATTATGTTTTTAAAAATATATTCTTTTTGCTCATATCTTTTTATTAGTCAATAATTTCCTGTTAAGTAGAAAAATAATTTTTCCTCTTTTCTCAAGAACTTAATTTTTTTAATTGTGTCACATTTGAAGAAAGGAAATAAAATGATCTTATATATACATAATAAAACTATCAATGATATTAAACATTTTGTACAATTTAGTTAGTGATTGTTATATTAAGTTTCGGAACTGATAATTTTTTATAAAATGCATTGCATACGCAAGATTATAAATATTACACAGTGGAATCTGCAAGTATTTAACAAAGTTAATAGAGCACACAAGAGATCAGGAATATTGCTACAAAATATTATTTGTCGTTTGAATCACGACTCTGAGGAATATCTATCTGAAGAAGATGAGAAGAAGCAAAACGAATACGTCAAGATTGCTAGTCGTTATTTAGGCATTGCAGTTGGTGGACACAGGACGTTTATTTTACAACCGTATATAAAATGGGGCAAAGATAAGAAGAGAAACACTTCGCCAGAACTACAAATGGCTGAAGCTGTAGCACTAATAAATACTCTACCTAATTGGTGTGTAGTTGGAACAAAGTACGCTCCGTTACTTACACTACAGAGGAAGCATCTGCTGGGTACCGGCGGGATCGAGAATCTAAAGAAGGACTTAAGACAATGTCCAAACCCCACTGCCATATTTGTTAGCACTAATCTGTTGAAATTTGTCCAAATCAGAGAATTGGAAAAGATCTTTGGCGTACCAGTGTACGATCGTTACTCCATAGTCATTCACATATTTCGTGAACATGCGAAGACTGCAGAGGCAAGGTTGCAGGTAGCCTTAGCAGAGATACCATATATTCGGAAAAAGATATTCGAAACGTGCGTTAGTCGCAGTGGCGCGATAAACGTGACGGAGGAGACAAAACGGTTGCTCGACAGCAAAGAGAAAAAATTGAGAAACGAATTGAAGAAGCTGCAGCAGCATCGACGAATGATCAGGAATCAACGTAAGAAGCACGGTTTCCCCACGGTCGCTGTAGTCGGTTACACAAACGCAGGGAAAACTTCCTTAATAAAAGCGCTCACGGATGACAATTCTCTACAACCTAGAAACAAATTATTCGCAACCCTTGACACTACCGCGCATCAAGGCATTTTACCCAACAGATTAAAAATTTTATACATGGATACTATCGGATTTATTCAAGATGTGCCGGAAACTCTGATTGAACCATTCATTGTGACTCTCGAGGATGCCATAATCGCTGTACGTTGGTTTTATATTATCTCTCCCTCTCTTCTCTCTTACTGCTATTTTTTTTTCTTTCACAAAAATTTCCCAATTTAAGAATTCTTTTTCCTAGGATGTGATAGTTCACATATACGATGTCAGTCATCCTGATATGAAGGCGCAATATGAGCACGTCCAGGAGACGATAAAACCCATGTTGGATGCTCGTCCAATAATCGACGTTGCCAATAAGTGCGATCTTGTTCAAAGCGAGTGCATACCCAAGGATGCAATTGCCGTCTCCGCTAAGGATCTGACAGGTGCGATCAGAATTTATTGTCGTTGTCTATACAGCATAAATCATTCGAGCAACGTTGCAACATTCCAGAAATATTGCAGTAACATTGCTGCAAGTTTTTATGTATGGGCGTTAATGAATCCGCTGGATGCAACAACAACTTTAAAACAATTTAAATATTTACAGGAATCGATTTGTTGCGCTTGAAGATACAGGAGGTCCTTTTAGCCACGACTGGATTATTAACCATACGTGTGAGGGTAAAAGCAGGCAGTTCTGCGGCCAGCTGGTTGTATAAAATGACGACAGTGACAAACGCCGAATCAGATCCGAATGACGTTCAATATTTAATTATGAAAGTGATTGCCACTGCGGTCGACATTCAAAAGTTCAAAAAATTTTTAAAAGAATAAAAAGTTTTATACCACATTTTACTCTTTTGCAATTTATTGTTCTCTTCTTTTTACGTAATAGAAAGAGGCACTTTTTGTGAGGATTTAAAATATTTTGATTGCACATAAAGATATTTTTTTTTTTTTCAATTAGTCTTATCTACTTTACAATTAAAAAGATCATATACGTATAGATTATCTATTAATCATTATATACAATATTCGAGTAGTTTTAATAACATCATAATTTTATAAATAATTTTCTTCTACGAAAGAATATTTTAAATTCCTTGTGTCAGATATATTAAGTCTTTAATACTAAATTGCACGATTCACGAGCAGTAATTTGCTATTAAAAATGTATGATAGGAAAATATAAAAACGTATGTATATCGCCATTTTTATCGGAGAATTCAATTTACATATAAATATGTGAATTACTGAGAATGTTTTTTGTTTGAATGAATCACGTGCGCGAACGCATACAGAACGCACTTGAAAATCTTAGAAATATTCTTGGGCGCGGCATGCTGCCAAGAAGTCATTTCTTTTTACAGCTCGGCATGTACACGTGCTCAGCACGTGTTTCTCTGCAATCGGCAGACGACACGACTTCAAATTTCAACTGAAAGATACTTGTCAGGGCTATTAACGAGATTAAAGACTTTATCACGGCACTTAGGCACAGGCGATGCAAGTGTACAATTTGTAAAGTTTACTTTGTAAATAGGATTTCATACTTAAAGCGAAACTTATCATTTGTACTCTGGACTTTTCAACTTTGTAATATTCCCATTGATATTCACAAATGCTGTCGTTGATTAAAAGAGAAAGAGACGTTCTCAATAAATTGCGTTCTTTACGAAACAATCACAAAGAATATTAAAATAGATTTAACGAACAAAATAAAAGTTAATTATTCTTTGTAAAATATGACAAGATTTAGAGAATTACTCAATATGAATTTAAACAATTTTTTAATCTAAATAAAATCATAAAACTCTATTTTTTAAAGTTCTATACTTTTCAAGAGTATTTTTTTCATAATTACATATATAATCCAACAAAAATGCATTTTGTCAGAGAAATTTCCATAAATTTTTTCATTTCTAAGGCTATAATAATTGATCATATCATTCCGTCGTATAAATATTAATATCCTTTTGACAGAAAAAATTAAAACCTATTCAACGAATTGTAAATTTTTAAACTTTATTAACACTTCCATTTTTTTTAAATAAAAGTTTAATGCATTCCTCACGTGGCTTTGTGCTTCTCGACCAAGAAAAATACAATGCTATTTCAACGTTGCAGATGGCATATGTATCTGGCGAGAAGTACTGAAATAGGAAGAAAAATCTTCAAAAAAGGAACGGCACTTCAGACTTTCGCACGGAGATATGTGGTCTGAAATTTGGCAAGACAATCGATTTACGTCTGGATCGTTGCCCAATAGAAAAGATCGCCCCGTTTAGTTATCGCCACCGTTTTATTAAGAGTTCCGTTTGTTTGCTTTATTTCTCCGCTCCTCGCGCGAGTGTGCCGGCGATCAACCACCGCGAGAGAAACTTCACGACGAGGGTGCCGCCGTCACGGCGCGATGTATAATTCATAGAACTCGATGGCTCTGCGCGCCCAAAGGGTGTCCTGGTAATTTTATATGGCAATAGCAGAACGAGATGCTATCTTTTTTCACAATGACGCTCTCTTTTTTTTTATCTAATCGAGGAACTCAATTCATTCGTTGTAATCTCGATAGTCTACTCCAGTTTCTGTCTTTCTTATCGTTGAATGCACCAAATAGCTACGCCGACAATGAGCACAATTTTACCGTCGTAAAACTCAGTCGAGGGAATGTTAATAACGAACGCGAATCGGAGGGTGATTCTCAACGAGTCGCGACAGCTACGTTCTATGCGGGCGACTCTCGACCGTAAAACTCTCTCCAGTATACGTACTAACCCGAGCAACGCGTCATTAATATCCGGTGACGGCGGGACACCCTGTGTGTAGCCTTATAAAGTGCCCCCGGCAGAATTAATCGCGCCGCGCGGAGGAAGAGAGTTCCGGACTCTCTCCGCGCGTCGTCCTTTGGTTGTGGGAATTAATGAAGGATTGATATCGCGATTATGTTGTAGCAATAGCGTAGAAGAGGGTCCGGCGGTGGGCACCGTGTGGGCCGATCGGCAGCAGCGGCAGCGCGGATCGTGGCAATAATTAATTGCAGGCGTGACGGCGCTTTAACGTCGTTAATTTTCATTATCTCGATCGGAATCCGCTTGTAGCGCGGAACGCCGCCGCTTTGCGCTCGCTAATTTCGCGCGCGTACTCGTTCGCCTCACTTCCGGGAAACGCGTTAACGATTCTTGGGGTGAGCTCCATCGAGGATGAAACGGGAGAAAGGGAAAACAGGGATATCTTGCAAATTTTGTCACACGTCGCGGCTACGATAACGCTAATGTTACGACCGCTCTTGTGGCCGGAAATCGCGACGCGCGAAAACGCACTTGACAAGATGTTTGGATTATTAAAGCGAGTCAAGTAAAACCTAATTACCGTGATGGTCAATCAAATGACAGATCAGCACTGCTGTCCTCCTACTGTGTACATCTAGTGTATCGAGACAATACGAGTAGTAATCAAAGATCGCTATGCAGTAAATTCAAATTGTCGCGGCCGTCCCGTTAATTGATGAGTTCATCCGAGAGTAGCGTTTCATTTATCAAAGAAAACTACATTAAGTTACACGTAACGTACTCGCTAGTTGTAATTTTCCACTCAACAGTATAACATACGTGTGTTATATTACAGTTATATGCATATAGTTATATTGTTGAATGAGAAATTACAACTAATAGGTACGTTTCTCTTCTTATCTCCTAAACAAACCCATTGGAAAAGTGGCAACGATGAAGATTTGGTACGGTGGTCCATTAGATTGTCACTATCAGCCCGGGTCCGATCCGTATTTATTTAAACACGCTTTAAATACAAAGCTGCGGCTTGACCGAGGCCTATCGCGCCTGCCCTCGGCAATTAAACGAACGATTGGCTAACGAACGTCGATCGCCTCGCCGAGCGCGCGGCTCGTGTAACGTAATGACCGTCGTGCTGATTTGCTCGCCGTTACGGATTCAATTACGGGCGGCTTGCCCCGGTATTTTGCACGACGCGGTACGCCCGAGCGTTCCGAGATCAACGGCGGAAATTAAATTAAACTTAACGCCGCCGTACGGCTACGCGTGCATAAATAACGAAAGTGACACCGGCCCGGGACGGCCGGGACCTAACGAACATAATCCGATATTTGCGTTGTTTTAAGCGCCGTTTGGCCGCACGCTCCCGGGCAAACTGCGAAGCTGTCTGCTAAATGAAGTTCAGATCAAACAAGGGCTGGCGCTAATTGACTTTAACTGAAACACCGATCGGTTAGCGCCGATCATTTTTAACTCTCTACCGTCCAATACAACTTTCAAGTCACATATCCGTTTGTTTTGATTATTGCTTGCATTTGCTGTTAACAAGAAAATGCTTTTTATATGCATACTTTCTAAGTGCATAGACCTGCTATATGTTTTATTCAAATTTAATTTAACTTGTTTGTTATATGTATATTGAAGATATTTTCAAAACCCGAAATATTGTAATTTATGTAATTAGGAGATTTAGACACGTTTTATGATTATATTCATATAGCCCGTTCTTATTATAAGATCTCTTAAGTAATGTTTTAATTAGGGATGCACCGGATATCCGGAAAGTATCCAGTATCCGGCATTTTTTGCTATCCGACCGGATAATCGGATATTATTGGTATCCGAGAATATATCCGATTGAAATTTGATATCATTAAATTGTTGATTTTTTTATTATACAAATGTTCTAAAAATAAGTATGCATATTCATAATGCTATAATACTTATACATTGTTGCAAAATTACAATTTTTTCTCTATAGGTTTTTTTTTAAGACATTTTGTCCGAAAATCCGGTATCTGATAATTTTACGATCCGGTACATTCCTAGTCTTAATAAGACACTATACCTATATATGGATCTGCAATTGGTTTATAACAACTGTACATAAGACGATCTTGAAGAATCAATTATAAATATCGTTCTTACAGTTGTCTAAAATTTGATTTTACCAAAACAAATTTTTTTAACAGCTTAAAAGTTTTTCGTGATGTACGCAAGGTATCCTACGGAAGAATACAGGAAATGCATTAGAATGTTTCGTTTCTCGTACATAAATATTCTCACATCCAACTGTCATCGTGTCTAGGAAATGTCTAGGAACTGAAAGACACGAAAATTGAGTTCAACGGTGTTTGACTTTTGCAAATGTAAGCTCTCCCATGTTTAATCGCTTAAAAGGAGGTACGACATGCCTAAGGTGTGAAGTCGGCAATGTAAGGTGGGGCCTGTTTTGCGGCCGACATTCGCGGCTCGGTTAGTAACTCTCGAGTTTGAGCGGCTGACTTCAAAGGGACGCGAAAAAATTCGTGCGCGATTGACCCCGCGTAAGGGAATACCTTCGCGAGACGATCAACGCGATTCCCTCCCTTCCCTCTGTTTTCCCATCTTTCTTTCCTTTACGTATCTTACTCGTGTAAGAGGTCGTACATTAAGCAATACGTGCATTTGCATACGCGCCCTATTTCCCCTTCTGCTTCATTCACGTTCTTGTCATTGCGACTTAACGCGTGTCGTCTCGCGCGTGCAGTCATTTATCGTGAGGTTTATACCTGGTGTTCCGCCACTACCGCATCAATGCTTAATCCCGCTGATCTGTTTGGGACTATATGACCTAAAATGTAATTAATTTTCTTACTGGTATTTTATTTTTTCTCTAATATTCAATATTTAAATTTAATTGTTAATTTGAGATCTTTTTTCTGTAAAAATTAAAAAAAATTCTTTTAGAGCTTTTAATCATATATGTAGATCTATAAATGACCTATAAATGATGATCATAAGTAAATTTGAACATCAGATCACTAGAATTAACGATAAATTGAAAACGAGAATTTTTATACACTGGCAGCTATTGTAGAATAACAAGATGTTCTCTTTCTTGAGCTGAACTTCTCAATGTATATAATAAATAAATGTACAAATTATATTTAAAAAATTTTAATTTCTACTCGTTATTAAAAAATATTTGAAAGTCACGAGCTTTATATTATTTATTTAGGTAGAGGAGAAGGAGTATTATGGCACTCTCCAGTTACACAATACATTTTACACAATAACTTTGTTAATAATCAATATTTAAGTTTAAAACTTGACAATTACATTCATTAAAATGTAATTGAATCGATTCTGGACTCAAAGTTACGAAATATTTATTACTTAGGATACTATTAATAAAAATGTGGCGACATTGCATGAAGAAAAAACACTCTAAGAAAAAAATGGGCCGTAATATGGCCTTCCATAAAAATAGCTTTAAAATATAAGTTTTATTGAGAAAACAGTATTTGATTACAAAATTAACAAAAAAGAAAAACATTTTAAAATGTATGCAAATGAATGTATATACTTTCGCATAACTTCTGCATATAAGCTGCTCAGTATTAAAAATCTCAGTACTAAAAATAGTACATGTAATATAAACTATAGATTAACAGTAGAGATACAATCGATTATCAAATAATTATTTTGATATGAAAACCTCAAAAAAGAGATCGTGAGTAATCAATATCCATAGAAGGCCACATTAACAAAATGCCATGATATTGTTTAAATTTGTATAATTCAAAATATATATAGTCAAATAAAATGTTAAATAGAAAATAACACACTCAAAAATACATATATTCGTGTAATAATATGCTCAAGTTTAAGAAAAATTAGGGGAAATAGGTGTAATTAAATGCTAAAGTGTACCTCAGAAACGTTTCGAAATACTTGAAAATGCGTTATAATAAGTGCTGGCTATTGAGTATCGGTGATATTAGCGTCATGGTGTAACGGCTAGCTACTGAACTAATAATTCCATAAGTAATCATTAAGATTCGCTATATAATAGCGGAGATATTAAGGGAGGTCACAATATATACACTGGCCATAATATTACCTTTTCCTCTATAATTAGATATAAGCAATTTTTTCTCATTTCTTCAAACTTGATTTTTGTAAAAGAAACAATGCAAAAATTATTCTTTTAATTATTTTTTGTTTTCTTTCTTCTTCTTATTATTATATTTCTTGTATGAAACAGTAATTTTATAAAAGAATGTAGATATGGACATACGTATTTCGTTTATAATTATACATTTATATAAAATTCTTTACTTTTAAGTTCTTGTATAAAATTTTTTACTGAGTACTAATTAGATATGTTTATGAACGTCCGATTTTGTGTCAGAATTTTTTCTAAGGGGAGGGGACAGTCTTGCCACACGTAAGGAAAAAAAGTTCAAATATTTCCTTCCTTGGTGACTCTACAATCTCTGTCGAGTTTTAATGACCTTTATTTTCGTCACTTATTCATTTCTAATGTTTATACCTTTTAGTTAAAAGCTTCCCCACCATAAAGTAGATAGGTAGATAGGTATATGTCGAGCAAGGTATTTTTGGGGGTTTTTATTTTTTTTTATATTTTTGTATTTGTATAAAAAATTTAACCAATACTCGCTTTTATTCAACACGCGTCTCTCGACCAGGGGGGGCAAATGCCTCCCCCCTATCTGGACGTCCATGGATATGTTTACATGGGAAATACATCGTATATTTGAAAAAATATAATCAAGAAGAAATGACAAAGAAAAGTTCACAGATATTTTCTATATTATATATATTTAACACTCACATTGATATCGTATCGTATAGATTCAATATTTTGTACCAACAAAATGTAGAATTTTAAAGAATGCTTTTTAAACAATGTGCATACATAAAATGTTATAAATTTCTACTTATAATGTAAGGCACGGTCGACGATTAATGGTACCAAGAAGAAAAACAAAAACGTATATAATATGCGCCCTGGATTATCTCCCGGATCGCTCGATCTCTGTAATTTATACCAACTTTCTCCCTCTCCTCATGACGCCGGCCTTGGTTGTGAGAATACACATCGTGTGCAATCCTTTTGGCCTCTTCGCATGGTACGTCCCTGACACCGGCAAGTCGCGCGATTGGCCCTCCCGCGGGCGTGGGAGCTCCGCGGGGGTTCATGGTTTGTCGCACGGTTAGTACAACTGTGCTGGGGGGTGGATCGAGGCACGCGGGATGGCTAGTACCTGAGGATAGGACGAGACGGGGGTAGGTAGACAGGAGTGATAGCCGGTCGGCGCAAGTGCGACGAGGAAGCGGCGGGGGTGAGGGGCGTATCGCGGCCTGGCGAAGCCCAGTCGAGTCCCGTGAGTCCGGGCAAGCACTGCTATCGAGTAGGTGGCATCGTGGTGGTGGTGGTGGTGGTAGTGGTGGAGGTGGTGGTGTTAGGCGTCGTCCGGGACCGAGGAGAAAGAGAGAGAGAGAGAGATTCCTCCGAAAGAGAGAGAGAAAGAGAAAACCGCCATCGAATACCGCTGCCGCCGCCGTCGTCATCATCGTCATCGTAGTCATAGTCGCGGTCGCTGTTGTTGCCGTCTTCATTATCATCTTCGTGTTCGTCGTTACCGTCGTGCTGCTGCCGTCGAGGCGGTGCGTCGTCGTCGCGCGCTCGGTAAAAGCCCAGCCCCGAAGAAAGGAGTAAACAGCCTCCCTCGTCTCTCTCGCGCCGCATGTCAAGAGAGCGAAATGAATGGAGAACGAAAAAGCAGAAAGAGCGAGGAAGTTAACGCGAGCGAATGAGCGGACGAAAGAAATGAAGAGAGAGAGAGAGTGAGAGAGAGAGAGAGAGAGAGAGAGAATATGTGTGAATGGGAGAGATAGAGAGAACGTAATGTGCGATTGCGAGTCGAGAGAAAGGGAGAATGAAGCGTTCTCAGAAGCGGTAAAGAAGTACTCGTCCCGGTTGTTATCAGAGGGGAAAAGAAGAGGACGCGCCTACCGGTCGTGCGGCGCGCAAAGTCTCGTCTTGTCGAGCCTCGCCGGCGACGAGGTGGCAGAGGAGGTGAAGGAGGAGGAAGTGTAGGAGGTGTAGGAGGAGAGGCGACGGCAGCGAGAGCTGTCACTTCGATCGCCATTTTAGCGCCGAGGAACGGCTGTGTCGGATACGCACGTCGAGACCTGTGCGTGCCGACGACGCGCCGCAATGGATGCGTCTCGCCTGATCCGTGTCGCCCTCGCCGTACTTTCGGCACTCGCGAGTGCCTGCGACCTTTCTCCTCCCCTCGCCTCCTCTTCTCCCTCCCTCCCTCCCTCTCCTCCTTAAGGGAACGCGCGCTAAAGTCCGAAACTCGAAGGAAGCGCGACGCGCCACTGAATCGCGCGAATGTACATTCGGTATTTATAGTCGATTCTTATATTTAAGAATTCTAAGTACAGTCTGAAGATGTCACAAGTCATTAATAGATATTGGGTACTTTCGATTTAGTGACACGACACAAGAGTCGACGCAAGCCTCAATTCATCTTTCTTCATATTTAGTGAGTAATAAAGATAGAATGACGTTTATGCCGACTTGTGTCACCAAATGAAAAGCACCTATTATCTTGAGGCATTCCTTAAAACGATCTCGAAATAAGAACTGAATACTGAATATCGGCCTTTGTCATCACGTGTCTATCGTGATTCTTCTTGGATTGGACTGTTATACTTTTTAATCCTCGACTACAACAACGAGTTATTCGAAGTGAAAATTTGGACGACTGTTATACAATCTGTATACCATGGCCGATATTTATAGTCCATTATGGATTTTCTACAATAAGCCGTTATAGACCAGAAGCCAGGAGCAAGTTGTAAGTGGGTCAGCAGACCCACTTTGCTTTATTGTCATAAGACAATAAGTTAGTAATCAGTGACTGCAAGGAAATGGCCAAATTCCATTTCTTACGATTTAAAACTTAGATTACGTTATGACTGACTAATCACATAATGTATTATTTGTCCTGGAAACTACCACCCTTCTGATTACCGGCTGAAATATTGTGACGTAACGATCTAATGTTATTTATTCTGAATGTAAGTTTCCTAAGATTTATGATTATAATTTTGATTTATCACTAATCTGATATGAGTGATGACTAACGGCTTATTGTAGAAAGCCCATTACATTTAAGACTGACTTGAATACAATCTTAAGATGTTATGAATTAATCAGAGACCCGAATATATCTTGAGACGCTACTTAAGATGATCTTAAACTAAGAACGGACTATGAACACCGCCCTATAAGATTTTAAATCATAGGTGAAGAAACCTCAAATATTCCTCTATTAATCAACGTAAGATTTTTACTTACATTTTATACTTTAAACAGGACGCTTCAGAACTTAGGTGTCGTTTCCACAGCTGTAGTTGAGGGTCAATTTTGTGAAAGAAAAGACATGATCCTGTCTTCGGGTCTATTTGATAAATACGTTCCTCTTGATAGATAGATAAGGCTTTTAAGACAAGACGAGATATTAATTCTTAATTTCATCGTGAAACGTTTTCGGTCTAAACTAGTCTACAACGACGTTGCATGCTTGGCAAATGCGAGTTTTCTAGGCCGTTGCGTGCTGCACGCGGCGATAGTGAGTGTATCTCAAAATTTGTGCACTAGTAATTCGAGTAATCGCTGATCGTTAGTGCGGCCGATTTCTACGACGAGCCGTAAATCTTTCGAACGGGACGTACTATTCGCGCGCTTCTCGCGAATCGCGAACTATCGAAGGACGTTCACGCGTCCCACCTACCGCTAACTTCATTCGGTTCGCGACTCGAATCGAGCGTTACGGTTACGGTGTGATTTTTCACGGTTGTGGTACATTGCCCGTGGCAAATATTAACGAATATTAACGATATTGAACGAATTTCAGAAACGATATCGGTAACCGAAGAGTTGAAAACGGGCGGTTCGATTTCTCTCGTTGGTTTCGCGAAAACATATGCAGCTTTCAAATGGACGGTACGCGACTCGAATTCGTGATATCGGACGTCAGTGAAGGAAGAGAGTAAAAAGGATACAAAGAGAGTAAAAAGAGTAGATGGAAAGAACGGTGTTCAGACATGCACGATGGATGCGTGAGTGATGGACAACAGAGGTAAAGAGAGAGAGAGAGAGAGAGAGAGAGAGAGAGAGAGAGAAAGAGTGGGAAGAAAGTGAGTGAACAAGTGGTAGAAAGGAGACAAGGTGAATCAACGGGCGAGAAGGAGAGAAGTGAATGGGCGAATGCGATGAACGAACGACGAGCGAGTCAGTCGGGGCGAGAAAGAAAGAGGTGAAAGCTAGTGTCGGAGGGAGAAAGAAGTGTGCGTGAGAAAGAGAGAGAGAGAGAGGGGGGGGGG